CCAAATCGTCCCCCTCTGAAAACCGTTAAAGCTGCATGTACCTTTTGCTCTATGCGTATTACTTTAGTTTTCTGTTGTCTCTTGTGTTGCCTTTGTTTTCTGTCAATCAAGAGCCAAAGAGCTCTATAAATGTATTCTCCCCTTAACCAAGACGAATGTATGAATATTACATTTTTGCTGTGAATTGTCTAACTCCCATACACAACTCAAAACAATTAGCTTTCTTAACTAGAAGAACTTTTTTGAGAAATCGATTAAACCTATGTTTGACCAGCTTTGAAGAAGTGGGAAATACATGCATTTGAAGCCTTCTTTATTAATATTAATCTTAATTGCCGACCCGCCGGATGAAGGGTTACCCAATTCCAATTTGCATAGTGCATAACGAAAAGTTTGGAATAAATCACTTATACATACATATATATATATATATCAATGAATGAATGCTATGAAATTAATCAGTAAACTGGTATGGCGAGAAAAAGTGGAAGGTACGGAATACCTGCTGCACCAGTGATATTACTGGCATATCTTTTGAACATTGCAATCACAACTCTTGTGCTAGTATGGCTCTTACATGTTCGAGAGGGATTGGCCTTCACATCCGCTAACAAGTCCAAGATTTTCAATGTAATTAATTTTAATCATTCTCTTTAATTTATAATTCTCATCATTATAGTTACTCACTTTTAACTAATTAACCTCATGATGCTAATTCATACTCCCTCTCCCACAACCAGCTACATCCTCTTCTCATGATAATTGGGTTCCTGTTAATTGTAGGAAATGGTGAGTGATTACTATGTACGTGTATGTGTATATCTATATATATATATATGTTATATATGGTGATTTTTAACCCAAAAATTAAAAAAAAAAACAAATAAATATATTGGGTGCAGCTATAATGGCTTACAAGGCGGTTCCTGCAGAGAGAAGAATACAAAAAGCAGTTCATGGGACATTACATATTATGGCTCTTGCATCTGGGATATTTGGAGTTTATACAGCTTTCAAGTTCCACCATGAGATAAATCACCCTCACATGTTTACTTTACATTCTTGGCTAGGCATCATTACCATCTCCCTCTTTGCCCTCCAGGTATTCAAGAAGTTCATCACCCATATTATATATATATATATATTTACAGATATATAGTTAAGTATATAATTAAGGTGAATAAATAATAATTACAAAACACTTGCAGTGGATCGTGGGATTCTGGTGTTATGTGTTCCCAGGTGCAGAAATGTCAGTAAGAGGATCTCACTTGCCATGGCATAGGTTGAGTGGTTTGTGCATGTTTTTGTTGGGAATATGTACTGCCGAGACTGGTTTTGTTCAGAAATTCATATCGTTAGGATTATTTCGCAGCTCGGAAGCACTTCTTCTCAACTTCACTGCTTTACTGCTTCTTTTATTTGCCTTCTGTGTAGGTCTCACTGTTGTTCTTCCGCGGTCATATTAATTACTTATTTAATTTAATTATAAATTAATTCAACTGAAATCGGTGTTGACAGATATTATGATTGGTGTATATGTCTTCTAATCGATAAATATATGTAATTTCTACTAAAAAAAATCAACTAGTATAGTATTAAAAAAATTATAATACTTCATTAATTAAGTAATTAGTTATTTATTTATATTATATATATATATTATATTCTTTTTTTAAACGGGTTGTTAAAGATGCTAATATGTAATTCCATAACCTAATCATTCAATTTCCATTTGAAGAAGCAGAACAGAATTCATGAGGGAAAAATAAATACATTAAACAAATTACACAATACTACCATTACATATCCTTTACTATTCCCTTTTTTTTTTTTTTTTTTTTTTTCTTCTTAGAAAGCGTCAAAAAGAAGATGAATTAAAAGATAAAAGAAAATTGAAAAGGTTCACACCAACTGCTGCTTTGTAGCCTCCATTCTCTCCAACAAACCAGCAATCTCGGCTTGCATTCTAAACTTCATGTTTTTGTAATCACAATGCGAATGTTCCAAAACCTTCAATTCTTCCAGTTTCTTCCTTTGCCTTTCCTCAGTCTCTTGCAAACAAAGTTTTGCAAGCTTCTCAGCGTACTCTTCGTCCAATTTATCAGCCTTGGACCGAATCATTCGTCTGAAACTCTCTGCCTCTCTGCGTGCCTCATCTGCCTTGCTCTGGAACATTCTTGCTTCTGCTTCTTTAATCCTTACTATGCTCTCCAAGCTGTCAAATCCTTCATTCTTCAATGATCTACCAAACTGGATCTCATCTTCAAGCTTCAAATCACTTGGTAGGGATACTTTCTGGTCTTTCTGGAGGAGATCATTTGGCAGTAAATCACGCCGTCCACTTGAAGAGCTTGTGCTGTAGATACTGTATTTTTGAGAGAGTGAAGTGGCTGGTGTGACAGATCCCTCATCTTTCCTAACAATAGATTGAGGTGGCATCACTTCTTTTGAATACATACCAGAGGCAGGGAAGTCTGACATACAATCTGCGTCTATTTAAACAGGAAGGAAAAAAGTCAGAGTTGGAATGAAGAAAAAAAAAAATTTGTAACCATTTCTTTTGTAAATTATAAAGAGTCCAAAATCAGTTGGCAATGTATGAAGTACTAAAAAAAGATCGCAGTCAGACTTCACAAGTCGAATCCAGCACAGTGTACAAGTGTTTTTAACACAGCAAGGAAAGTAATCATGAAGCTGCAAGTTCTAAAGCCCATTGTTTCTAGCATAATAGTTATATTTTACAAGTGAAGGCAATAGCAGAACTCAATGGCATGCATGCATTTCTATGAAGGTAAGAATCAGTCCTTTAACACCAGGACCATGAGTGAGATGACAGCCAGAATCAGAGCGACCGATAGTTTAACCGGATACATTTTAAAGAAACCGAATATGCTTTTTATTGTTAGGACTAAGTGCTTAACATGTCAATCTATTCAATTGCCAAAAGCGTTGTCAGGCAATCCAAACCATCCAAACTTTCTCTAAAGCCACCTAGTGTTGAAAAACAACCCCAGATCTTCAGGAAATGGTATCTCCACATGGACATTTCATAAGTGTCAATCTATGGAGGACTCTTGGAAAGATAGTACCGCATATGATCACTAAAATTCCATGATGACAGAATAACACTTTGAGCAGTAAGTGCGAGGATACATATAAGAGACCATACATAGCTTAGAATCACTTCTCAAAAGCATAAAGGTCAACTGTATCCAATTATCAGTGAGGAAATTTATTCTGAGTTCTATTATTGTAGGTAACAGTATGCTTGACCAACCATCTAGCCACACCTTTCTATGTGTGCGTGGGTCTTCCTTTTGAGGTCGATTCTGTTCTTGTCATATATGTGTCACTTGATTATTAAAATATATAAATTTTCATTTAAAAAAAAAACAATATATTTTAGAGTTCTTTTTTAAGAGTTAAGGAGGTAAAACTGAAATATACATGAAACTCTATTTGATTTTTAAAAAAGTAAATTAGAGTGAACTAGAGTAAATGAGGCTATCTTAGAACCTCTCCAAACCTCTCTAATTAAACCCCTCAAGAGTTGAAGTTCTTAGATACCCCACCCTGTCTACAGCATAGCAACTTTGTTAATAACAATGAGTTATTTTGCTCTTATTAATAAATTCCTTAGTCTACTTTGTATAACCAGAGAAGAGTGTGGTTCAATCCTTCTTTTACTCTCTATATAAAAACTAACTCTGACACAGATTTTCATTAAATCCTTACTTCTAGTTACTTTAATTTTCTCTACTTCAGTTCAAAAACTTCTACCTTAGTCTTCTTTAGAAACTCCCAAACATAGTGTGAAAGTTAAACAAAAGACCAACTGATGGTCCATTTAAATGTGAGTCTGAGCTAAGTGAGTACTATTTTGGTTAGCCCTTGGAGTGCAATTCTTTCCAAAGTAAGATAACATTGCCGTGCCAATTTTGTAGTCAAATACTCCCATTACAGATCAAAATAGGTGTCATCTCTCTTTCAGGTTACTGTTCCCATACCTAAAAACAACAAAAATATAGTTCTCTTTATCAAACTCGGGAGACAAAAGCTGTAACGAACAACCTGCACTATTTTCAAGAGATAAATAGAACTCGGTTTAGTTTATGGTATCCAGATCGGGAGAGAGAAGATATAATGAATAAGTCAATCTTAAGAACTTCCAAAAATATTTTCATGCTATTTGCAGCAACTGTCAGCGGATATGATACTGGTGAAGGCATAGCTAAACTGGGCAGTTAAAGAGTTATGAAGAGATTCAACAACAAGAGTTATGAAGAGTTATGAGGAGAGTAAATAACAAATTGTCAGTTAAACTGCATCTATTCCTCATTGCGCTGCATTTGGGGTAAAAAAGAGTTACGAATAGATCCAACAACAAGATGTCAGTTAAAATGCGCCTATTCCTCCAATGTCAATACCAGTGTTTCATTTCTTCCATAAAAGAAGCTAATAGTACACTGAAGGATATGGTTCCTTGCATGCTGCTTGTCCTCCTCAGATTTTATTGATTTTCAGATCAGCTGAAGGGAGTGACCGGACAGTGATTCCAATACCATAGGCCACACAGTTTACTGAGTATAATTAACAAAAGCAGTCAGCAGAGAATGAAATAGGCTAAGAGCCCCACTGTTGCCAGGTGACAGGGATGGACGGGGAAAAGGTTTCTCTTTTATAGTTGTAGCTGTAATAAGATATGCCTTGCCACACTACTGTTCTTGAATTTAGTTGTTTATAAATGTATTTTGAAGAACATCATAACATACTTTCTGCCCTATTCAGTAAATTAGCCGACTTTACTGTAGCAAATCAAGATCCTATTGGTGGTTTATGACTATAAGTTATTTCATAGGTTCCACAGACATTGTACTTGAAGGCATTGAGTAAACCTCGCTTCCTCCATCAAAGAAATAGTCCTGTGAGTTCTACATAAACCAAACGTAGTTTTTGCTACTAAAACTAGGAATTTTTTGCATTAATAACAAAAAAGAAAGGCACAAAAGGCATCGGTATATTGATGGCAATGAAACTTACCCACTTCAATAAAACAAGAAATATACATATACGTATATATAATTGCCCAAAGAAAATAGTAGGAAGTTCGGAGACTTACAGTTGAAGAATTTGATAATAAACTTGCAGGCATCTGAAGGAGCCATCATTTTGGTTTCTAGCTTCTTGACTAGCTCATCAGCTTTTATATGCAACTCTTTGCCCTTTAAATCGTCACTACTCCTGAAAATCTTCCTTACACAATCAAGCTCCTTAATTAGAGTCTCTAGACCCCAGTCCTGCGCACAGCACATGAAAACATCCTTAACAAATCCAAACATCTCCGAGGTATGACCGCATCCAATGCAGTGAAACTGGACCTCTGTAGTCCCTGATGGAGCTTTCAAGCTTGGACCTGGTTTAATCAGATTCTTCTGGATACCACAGGCAGCATGGCACCAATGGGAGCAAACATCACAACCTACCCAACTACAGGTATTGCTAGCACAATCAAAAGTTAAACAGACAGGACACATACATGAACTGCAAAAGCCCTTATTAGCTGAGCAAATCTTGCAGTCACAATCATCAACAGGCAACAAGCTTTTACAGTTAACATTCTTGCATCTCAAGAACAAGAAAATCTCCACCAATTCAATAACAGGTATTCGAATTTTTCCAGACAAGAAGGTCTTAAGCCCTGTTCTAACTGCAACCAAGATGTCAAGTTGGTCTTTGTGGCATTTGGAGAGAGTCTCCTTGGTGAAATCAGATCTTGTCTCTAGCCGGTTTTGTAAGCCTACCAATTCTTCTTTCCTCTCCGGTGATCCTATTAAACTCCTTAAGTACTCTTTAGTGGATTCAAGGGTTTCTTCTGGGATTTCCTGAATCAAGATAGCCATAACAGGCATGGACTCTGATACAATCTCGTGAAGGATTCTCTCAGGCCGAGAAAGCTTTCTAGCTCTGCCACCATCGACACCCTCAAGACCTCTCAAATTCTCCGAATCTCTCCTCCTTGAATCCCCTGAATGATTATCTACACGCGGCCTTGCCGGCAATTCAGACGGGAAAAACGAGTAATTATCAGAGCCAGTAGTCTTATAAAGGCTGTTACATGAATCCTTGTTCCGCATCGTTGAGAAGCCTCCTCCTCCATTACCACCACAATGATTGGACAAAGTAACTACATCTCCAATAGGCTTAAACCGGCTGTGAACAGACCCATTGGTCCCCTCCCCACCGCACCAAATCTGATCATCTCTTCCTACAGAACACTCGTAATACTCGGTAGAATTACGGGTCAAGGAGCAGCTAGGGTTGTGAGAGAAGGGATGAGAGTAGGAGTATGATAAGGAAGTGGCAGGGAAATCGTTTGAATAAGTTGTTTGGGTGTTATTGGTTGATGGTGCCATAGACTGTATACTCCTAGTAGGTTTCGGCTTAAGAACGGAATCAGCATTTTGCAAAGCGTTAGATGCAGTTAGAGAGAGAGAGACATCAGGCAAAGCTAGAGAGAGATTGAGAGTCTCCAGCTTCGGCCTTTTCTCTATGTTTCTCTCTCTCTCTTCAATCTCCTCGTCTGCTTCTCTTTTGGAAGAATTCCCTCTACTTTCATTCAAACTCAAGAAATCCCTCTCGACCCATTTCTCATCGTGATTAGAATTCTCAGAGACGAAGACTTCTTTGCCCTTCTGGCTCAACTTTTCCAGAGAATTCATGGGGATTTTCCCGCTGTCAGAGAATCCCAACTTGGTATTATCACAGAGGTAACTGAGAGTAAGCTCCTGGGAGCCAGAAGTGCCAGGTTTGAGGGGTTTTGGAGGGAAGCCATCCAGACCCATCTTGCTTGCTCTGAGAAAATCAATACCCTTTTGAGAGAAACTCATCTTCTCATCAGCGTTCTCTCGGTTATCCTCACTTATCCGGCGATACGAGAGGTTGGTTTGAGAGGTGTCTCCATCACCGGGTAGATCAGCGGAGATATCCGTGTCCCCAAACATGACTTTACAAGGAAAGAGCGAGGAAAGGGAGGAGAGAAAGGGAGGAGAGCAATGAGTTAGCAGAGAGAAGGAGTGTATGAATATGAGGGCAAAAGGGAAATTTTGAGAGAATCAAGTGGGTGTTTTTTCTTCTTCACTTGATTAGCTTTTGATTCTTTCAGCACACCATGGCCAGCTCTCTCTCTCTCTCTCTCTCTCTCTCTGCAACAACGGCTGGTTTTTCAAAGCGCGTCCACCATGATTTTCTTTTTTCTTTTTTCTTTTTTTCTTTTTCAATTTTGGTGGTAATTTAATTTGGTTAAAATAAATTATATCTTTTGGGCTTATTTACAGTGTTGACTCTATCAATCATAACTTTAACTGAACTGGTCCTCTCCTCTCTCTTCTTTTAGGAATGAGAATAACGTTTAGATTTGTTTAGGTTAATTACTGTTTAATGACTCAATAATTACCAAATTATGCGCTAACACGTTTTCATTTGTATAAATCATGTCGTCTAATCAACTTCAGTGGGTGTCTATAATTAATGCTCACATCTGATTTTAAGCCAAACTCCGCACGATAAAAGAATCTCAAAGAAACTCTAAGCAAATGTAAAATATAAAAACATTAAATCAAGATTTTTGTTGACTTAAATTTATATTGATTATACTTGAAATTTATTTATTTTCTAAAAGAAGTATTTTAAATTACCTTTTTAGTCCAATGTGAAATAAGACCAATTCAAAGTCCTCAACCACCCAATCATTTTCCTTAATTTATTTTGTTGTTGGTGGTCGAAATTCCTCCCCACTTGTCCGTATACGTTGGATTAATGACAGCATTCGGTCCCAAGCATTTTTTTTAAACTCTTTTTATACAAAAATGAGACACCCTGATCTCCACTGTCCACCTTAATCTTTGGGCAATTGAGAATTTTAGACATTCATATTTTATAGAGAAGACAAGGTTAATCGTATACTAATAACTTTTGCTCGGTCAATCTTTGGAGAATTATTATGCTCAACAAACCCCTCAAAGAGGAGGATATTTCACCACATCAAACTTGGCCTCTTCCCCTAATGCAAAGGCGATCTAAATAAAAGATAGCTGATGAATGATTCACTTTACACCACATTTACTTAAGTTTATTACTTTAAAACAAGTATATATATATTTTTAATTCATTATCGATAAACAATATTAATTTTATTTAGTAGTTATGTACAAATACACAGTACTAAATAATTCAACTACCTTAAATTGAGAAATCAATCTAAATATCATTGATAAATCACAAGATAACTCAATGTAAAATAAATCGAAATAAATTAAATTTGTAGCTCAAATATATTACAAATTCAATTTAAGAAAAATGATAAGCATAAAGGAAGCTAAGTTTTTAAGAGAAATGTAACGCAATTAACTTAAATACAAAATCTTAACACCATTTTTTTATAATAAAAAAAAATTCAGTATAGAAAATATATATTTTATTATCTCAAATATTGATTAGATTCGATAATCAATAAATACAAATATATTTAAAGATATATCCACTAGATGCTCATATTTAAACATTTAGATTTTATCCACTAAAACGCACAAAAAATACTACAACTAAGAAAAAAATTATAGACCAACTAAATAAAACGAAGCCTCATTGTTTCTACAAAAAAAAAAAAAAGCTACTCGTATACTTAGGTAATAAAACCATCTTTACGTATAGAAAGGAAATGATAAAACATCTTAATATATAACCTCATACAATATAGAAAAAAACTAGATAGGGAATCTTAAGTTCAACAGGTCTAGTTACGGCATTAACAATCATATTATCATGTCAATTTTTTACCCTTTCCCAACCATCAGGAAATTGATTTTGTCTGTTCAAATTATGAACCTTAATGGTCCTAATTATAGCCGTGAGATTTATAAAATCTCATTTGGCATATTATTTTGTTGCATGTGGTATAATATTCTTCTTAACTCAATAAATAGATGACAGTGACATTCATCAAATGTGAACCAAATTGAACTAGATTGATTTTTTTGAATGATATTTTAAAATTAAATATAATTAGTGAAATCAATAGTAAATAAAAAAAATCCCATAAACCATAATTACTCATATAATTCATAATTAAAAAGTTTAATAAAGCATATAATAATTCATCATATATTAATTCATAACCATAATTTTTTAAATATTTCTTTATAAAAATTTAAAATTTTCTTTAGTACAGATTGAATACTAAATTAAATATCGTTTGACCTAATCCAGTATGATTCTTATGTTAGGCCGTA